GCTGGCATGCTTGTGCCTGCCTGGTGCTTCTGTGTGTGATTATTATTTTCAGCTGATGCAATGTTCGAAAGTATCCATCTTTCCAGAGACTTTTGGGACAGGGTGATACTTTTGGACTCTGACCATGGGCAGGTTAGTTTGCCAGCTAGCCAGAAGTTCCACTCATAAGGCTATTTATATTAAACAGGGTTTGAGTAGTATCATGGTTTTGTTCGGAACTTTAAGCCTGTTTGGTTTACATTTGCTCTGAACTAGATGGAACATCTGGGTCTGGCTTACAAAAGTGTGTGGTGAAAGGCACATTACTAGTCTCAGCACTGACTGGCTGTTCCCTGGGCTTCTGCAGTTAAACACATGTGTTAGCAGTCAAAACAACTTCACGTTTGCATTTAAACTGGTATTTTATCCCAGGTACTTTTAGCATTTTGAAATAAATTTTAACAAGTTTCAGTGCCAGTGTCTTCATTTGCTCAGTTTCAGTGCTGCAGCATCAGTCACTTGTGCTTTGTCTTGAAACTTCATTACAACTGTCTATGAGAGATCTCGATACACTGAATTAGAAGTTAGAGCGAGCCAGTTTTTCGACTGACACATGCAGCGAGTATTTAATCTGGCAGTAGTATTTTCCAGCAGAAGGCAATGTAGTAGAGCGTTAACTCTCAAAGGTTCTGAAAGGTCTCCATAATATAGTTAAATGGTTGAGAAGCGCTTATTCTTTTGAAGTAATCTGTTGTGAAATTTTCAATTGCTTTATTCACAGTGGTTGTTCATCTAGCCACAGGCATTTCACTATGTCACATGGACATTTGTGTAATTTCTGTATGGGCTTGAACAGGGAATATCCAAAGAAATAGTCTTTCTTTAAAATTTGCTGATTTACTGAATAGCTTAGAAAAAAATCAAGGCTTGTGTACGGTTCAATTTCAGCAATTCTTCTCAGCCATGCAGTTTGTCTTAAATGTCCTGTGATTCCTATTTTGTAAGATGGTTATTTTAAGTTAGATGATGGATACTGGAAGACAATACTTAATGTTTTATGGTGAAATGTAAGAAAATTAAAACCTGAGTAATCTTTTTCACTTGTTAAAACAGTAGTTATTTTGAATATTTACAGGTTTTTTGGTCTTAGATGAAAACAAAGATAATACAAATGAATAGAGCTTGGCATTGTTCCTTGGCAGTGATACTGCCAATAGCAGTACCTTGGAATTTTCCTTTGACAGAGGGAAAACATGTTATTACATAAAAGTTAGTCCATTTTTATGAGTTGAGTTTTCAGTTCTTGGTACTTTTGGAGTTTGAAATATCTCACAAATAGCTCCTTGTTTGCTGTATATCAAATCATGAAGTTTTCTTAAACTTTATTCTCATTTACTTTTTATCTATTTCAGTAGCAGTTTATTCGGTCTGTTTTAAAATCTCATATTCCTTTCCCATAAAACTGTTTTGTTTATGTTGAGAATGTAGAATGTAAAGATACTGGTTCCAATTTAAAACCATGCTGAAGGTAGGACAGGATGGCTAAAGCTCTTGGGGAATGTAAAAATCTTCTTTTTAGGCAAAAGCAATACAGGTGGATGTTTTCTAGGTGGCACTGTGTGGTATAGGGCTTCTTGACTGTGCTTTGCCTATGTACTGCCATTGATCTCGATGGCAGCAGTAATTCCTGGCTCTGTGCCGGAGCAGGAGGAAGCATTTGACTGCTCTGGCAGTGTTCATGAACCATGCTTTGGGAGCCAACAAGGTCATTTAGCTTAAATTAAATGAACTGACCTATCATCTTTAAGCAATACTGTTTAAAAAAAAAAAGGGGGGGAAAGAAAAGGAGGGGGATGACCCTAACCTTTGCAAGAAACCCCACATTGTCCATTTTAGGCAAAGACAAGAAATAGATGCCAGTGGTGGCACATGAGTTAGTGAGCTGATGAGGTGTCGTGGAGGTGTTACAGTGAAAGCAAACTCCGGGGCCTGCTCATCAATGCGATGGTCCTGTTTGCTTCTGTGCCAGCGATGGAGAAGGAATGCACAACTGTCTTGTTGATTCTTAAGCAGGCAATCTGTTCTCTTAAGTGTGGTACAAAGCTAAGTTGGAGGACCTACTTGTGGACCGTCTAGAGGATGATTGTTTTGGAAGGCACTGGCAGAATGTACTTAAAGCTGTTTAGAGCTTGCAAAAAGCAGACAGAAAGGCAGACGGACAAAGCCGTTACATGGCTGAAGATAGGGTATGAAGTGGGCTGCCATGACTACAGATTCAGATTTCCTGCCTGGAGTAAGAAGTGAGCAAAGAACATCAGGTGGCATACTCTTATTTTTGCTTTAAGAATTGAAACAGGTTTTGATAATTAACCTTACCAGGCGCTTGCTATGGCGGCTTTCTTGTACTGTATACTAACGCTGTAGTGTTTCTGTTTAAATATTTTCCAAGAAGACCAATGCAAAAATGGTTTACTGATTGCTTGAGGGAACTCCATAACTTCTGATGAGCTTGTTTTGTAACCACTTTGGGAGCCAAAAGCTTTGGACAATACTTGTCAAACATCATCTTTTCATTGCATTTACCCTGTTGTCAGTGAAGCAATGCTGTATTCAGCTAGCAAAAATACCTGGATTGTGTTAATCTTAAAGGGAAAGAAGGCGCTGATCTGGTAACTTCATGTAAAGCAAGCATCATCATCCAAACTGAAGCTTAGTTTCTATTTCAAGTTCTAGATCTAGAATTTTTTCTTAATAATCTCTTACTGTAGACTTGTCTGCGTCGCAGCAGAAAGCAAAGGGTTAATCCAGTATTAACCTGAAGTTGTGGGACCTGTAAAGAGAGGATTAGTTTGTTCTTGAAGAAACCAGAAAAGGCATTTCTGAGAATGCCAGGGTTGCTTTTGCATGAGCTTCTTCCCAGGGTCTGGTCTGAAGAAGTGCATACAGGGATCTGCCTTCTACAGCGTTCTTCTAAGAAAGCAAACGGACAAAGCAGGTGTCTAAAAGGTTGTGCACTATTTTTGGGAGAAATCTGATTAATGTTGATAGGCTGTTCAGAATCTGGCTATAACCTCCTGTCAGATTATAGTTCGTGCCAAGGTCAGCTCTAAACCTTCCGTCTCAGTTTCAGATGGTGTCCCATGTGAAGGGCATTTGTAGATGAGGCAAACTTAGTTTTACCTTCTCAGTTAAATTTTCCTGCCTTTGCTAATAGCGGCATTTTCTGAGGCGGCGGCTGTTCTTCAGCACAGTTTGAGCTCTGAAATTGGCTCTTCGTGCTTTTATCATGAGCATAGTATTTTAGCTTTATTATGGTGCAGAAACCTGAGCTTGAAATGGTTAGTCCCTTACATGCTGAAGATCAAAAAGATTTTTGGAAAAATTTCCAAGTAGAAATATTTTTATCTCATAATTTAATACGTTCAGACAGTATTTTACTTCTATTGTTAAATTGAAATTCAAAGTACTTCAGCCAAATGGGCAGCAGAATATCATATCTGTTGCTTATCTCCTTCTGACCGCCCCCCTTCTCTATGTGCATCTTTGCTATTGGACTCTGGGGTTACTCAGAAGCTACCCACGCTCTGGCAGACTTGGTCTAATTTTCTGCCATCTAGGTTGTTTTGAATGAAAATTGACTGGATCATAGTCAGTTTTCATTCTCTTGCTTGGCTGAAGCTGTAAGCAACAAACTATCCTTGCAGGGGTACATCCCAGCGTTGTGTTGGTTACATGGTTTTTTGAATACACTTTTAAAATGGAAGTTAAGTTTCTACAGAAATTTGTATTACTAAATAGAAAGCATTATCCTTCATACAAGCAAGTAGCTTGAGAAAAAAATTTGGGCTGCTGAAAACTCTTCTTCCTTTTTAATGGTTAATTAAAGGTTAATGTGATTGAATCCTTCTCCTTCCCCCCAGATTCCCCGTTAGTTGTTCTCTAGTGAAGTCAGCTTCCTCACAGAGTTCTCAGCATTAGACTTTACCTTCTCTTCAGCAATTCAGATTATATTTAGAGATTTGTCTAGGAGCTGATGTCAGAAATTATCTTATAAATGCTTAGAAGTTTTTTTTTTCCTTAATCAAAACTGTTTTTCAAGCAGGGGGTATGTCCTGCTTTTTAGTTACTGAATATCATAAGTGATGTCAAAAATTTAAAACATTGTTTTGGAAACCATTTCTGTTCATATAACTCTTGTTTTCTGTTTTCTTCTAGGGGTAGCAGATGGTGTAGGTGGCTGGAGAGACTATGGGGTTGACCCTTCTCAGTTCTCAGGGACTCTAATGCGAACATGTGAACGTTTAGTAAAAGAAGGACGGTTTGTACCAAGTAATCCTGTTGGGATTCTCACCGCAGGTTATTGTGAGCTGCTGCAGAACAAAGTACCTTTGCTTGGTAAGAGAGCAAAAATGTATAAATCGGATCTGTGTTATCTAGGCATATACTTAGTCAAAGTTGCTTAAATCTGTTGTCAGCTTCTACAGCAAATTTGCAGGCAGTTATCTTTTAATTAACCAAAAAACATAGAAATGTAGTTGTCTCGGTAGCATTCTTATTTTCTCTTGCATGTTTAAAAACTGTCTTGATTCATTTGGTAATGCAGGGAATGTTTGTGTGTATATACGTATATTAAAAAAAAAGTAAAAGGCTAACTGCCGTTGTGTGTGAAGGGTGGTAATTCACCAGTGCTTTCAGAGAGTTTGCAAAACAAGTTCAGCAGCAGCAGTAGAATATGCTATGGCATGTGCACTCATCCTCTCTGTTATGTATGTATAAATAGCTGTTCTCAGTTGAAAACTCTTAATGGTTGGTTGTGGCTTTTTGCTTAAGCTATGCAAGCAAAAATATTTTCTGACGATAACTGGATGCAGTTCCGCTCATTCCTTGCCTTACTGCTCCCGTTGCCTTTTATGTCCAATGAACTTTAAACCTAATTGTTCGACTTAAGTAGTTTATATCATACAATCACTGGTACTATATATTATTTTTATAATTCTTTGTGGGGGATTCATTACAGATTTTTCTGAAAGCAAACTAAAGTAGATGCTTAGCATATTCTGTGTCAAAGTTGATTTTAGACAGGGCATCCAGCTGCCTTGGGAATGATGCAGATAGAGAGGCAACATTTGGCCTCAGCTGACAACCTTGAAAACAGAATACTTTTCTAAAGAGCATGTGACCTCTTATGCACCAAGAAAGTGTTACCCTGCATGATACGCATGCTTCTCACCTGACCTTAAACTTTTGTGCCAGAAGAGTGCTGTGTAAGCTATATTTAACTTGTCTGCTGAGCTTTGGAACAGATGTTCTTGCATTATATGTCTAAAGAATAGGTTTGAACCTCAGAAGTGACCTTAAGTATCACTAAAATAGCAGTGGTCAGTAATTACATTAGGATTTTGTGTGTTTAATAGTGCTTATTTGTGCAAAGCAGATGTAGCTGTAAGTGATCTACAAAGTGGGCCACTGGTGAGAGCTCTCACAACGGCTTTGTAGACGGAGGCAGCTCTGCTTGGCTTGACCTTTTGGATTCTGAAAAGCAGCATATGCTGAGTCACAAGATCTGCGTTCCACACATGGCCTCCTAGTTACACTCTGCTAATAGAGTTAGAATTTGAAACTAATGATCCTTAGTGTTTCTCCTTTAACAGAGAACAGTATTTTTAGAAGTAGAAATAAAACCCTGGAATTACCACAGCAATGAGCATTTAGAGTTTCTTTGAAATGAAGGGAGAGGACTTCGTTAAGGAGGATTCATTAGGCAATAACTATTCCTTGCTATTGTGCTTTAAGTCTCGATACTTAATTTACTGGCATTGTATCTAGCAAATATTTTAAAATAAAACTGAAGTGGAAGGAAACTGTGCCATTTATTTAAACACTGTTCTTGTATTGCAGAATAATCTGGGACACTCTCACATATAAAACCTGATTTTTCCTAAGATACTGCTTTGACTTACGTTCTCTAAGAGTAGAGTAGGTCCTATATATTCACTAGAGAACAAATTAAGTGCAAGCGTATTGCAGGGAGCTCCCTGTATTAGAAAGGGAAACATCTGGAATAGGTGATGCCTAGAGCCAGCTGGACTTCTGCACTAGCCAGCCTGCTTGTACGTTTAGCTCATTGCAAGCTTGTGGTCTGTCCAACATGTAGCTATGCTTGGAAACTTCTGCTGGAAGAACGTTAGGATAGAAGATGAATACTGTTTGCCAGCTGGTGATATGGGGACTTAGGTTAGAGGCAGAAGTCAAAAAGAAATGCTTTAGCTGTATTTCACCCTCTTCAGGAATGAAAGTTCTTTTGATGCATGTGCTGTCCTATTTGCAGAAGTTAAGTGATTGCTGTTTGCTGTGAAGGACTTAGTCTGTGGATGGATATCTTTGCAATACAGTTATTTTTGTGGCTTGCAACCAAGCACAGTTGGTGGCTACTTCCCAGTGAATGAATCAAGAATTCCTCAGTGCCCTCAGGCATGGCTGGGATAGTTCTGAGCACGGTTGACAAGTAGATATGTTTCCGTTCTGTCTGACTTTAATCTGGAATAGTATTTGTCTCTGAAACATGTTTGCTTTAGACTTGTGAAGTTAGTATCCTGAAGACGTGACAGGATTATTATTTTTTTAAACATGAAGATAGCTCTACAGAGCCACACTAAGAAGAAGAGCATTTTAATGTTCCAACAAGAGTAATGCAACAATGCCTAATACTTAATTGCAAGCAGTTCTTTACTTGGCATGGTTTATTTACAGCTGATGAGTGAAACTGTGTGGAGAGCACCTAGCATTGTATGGATGCTACTAGAATTCTATTATCTCAGTGATTTTGGAATTTCAGTATTTTATGTGACTTCTGTAAATCCGGTCCTATAGCAGAATGTGCTGACGTATGTTGGGATGGAAAACTGTAAATAAAGTGGAACAAAACAGGTATTTGTCAGCATAATGTGTTTACCAAAATCAAAGCAGGAAAAGTAAGGTCTATACAAAAATCGTAGTTTGTCTTGCAAAGATTTCTAGCATTTTGCTATTTTCGGTGTATATTAATTTTGGCATTATTGAGTATTTCCATTTCTCCTGATTTGTAAGCTTTGATAAATATTTGAATAATTGGACTACGAATCAAATTGGTGAAAGAATAAAAAATCTCTGTAAGGCTAACTCCAGTTACCGTGTTCTGTTTCCAGGAAGCAGTACAGCTTGTATAGTAGTTCTGGACAGAACAAGTCATCGTTTACATACAGCCAACTTGGGAGATTCTGGATTTTTGGTAGTCAGAGGAGGAGAAGTAGTACATCGATCCGATGAGCAGCAGCATTACTTCAACACTCCGTTCCAACTGTCAATAGCTCCACCAGAAGCAGAAGGAGTTGTCTTAAGTGACAGGTAAGATGGGAGAGGATCTTAAATTTTTAATTTGTGTATGTGATCAACTCCCAAAAGGTTGCAGTTTTGCCGCCACGGTGCTCTTTGTGTAGTGCAGCGTAGCATGTGGGATTTAAGCATGTATCCAATCAAAGGGTCTTATACCTGCCCTGCCCCCCTGTCTTTAGGTAATGTGAACATTTCTCACCTTGTAGTTAACAAACTCTGTATGCTGTTGCACAGTCTGAATTGATTGGGCTAATTATTCATTCATGATGGCGTATTCCCATAGTCTATGGTGTGCACTAGGCATGTTCTGATCCATGGAAAGCTGTTGCTCAATAAAGCTGCTGTAATAAGACTGCAGCTGGTGCATGTGCCAGTCATCCTGCATGAGTGGCTTGTCTTACCAGTAGCTTTCGTTCCCAGTCCCTGTCTGTACTCTCTTGAGACTGGTTTGGAGTACACTAATTTAGATATCTTGGCAGTGAGGTAGCAAGTACTTGAAGAATAGAGCAGAGGGACATGTGACTGTAACTTGCGTTTCCAAATAGCTGTGTTTCCCGCAGCATATTGTATTTGACCCAAACGAGCAAAAAAACTGTTTGGCGGAACACCAAGCTGGGAAATGAGAGTATTAGGAAAGGACAATCTGTTCACAGAAATGAGTTGTTTCAAAGGCAGACTTGTACTTGTGTCTTCCCCTAAGAACGTCAGGCTGATCCATCCTCTGACTTTGTGAAGTCTCACCAGTAATATAAAATTTAAAAAAACCCGCAAACTAGCTTTCAAATATGTATTGAAATACAGCTCTCAAATCAATGGTTATACACTTACTAAAGTGATATCCCTCTTCTGAGTACAGGAAGATGATAAAGGGATCTTCAAAGAGTGACTATAGTATACAGGGAGTGCAATAGGCATCTTAAAGTTTTGATATAAGGTTTGGATTCAATGATCTTAAGGGTCTTTTCCAACCTAAATGATTCCATGATTCTGTGAAATATCAAGGCTGATGCAGTAAGGGTTATAACTTTAATGTCAAAATAGCTCTTTTTGAAAATGTTGGTTAGGTTGTTGAAACTCCTGACCATTCTTGCATGTGATTTTATTACTTCTTCATAAGGCTGCAGAGAGGAAGCTAGGGTAGAACTCTGAAATTAGAACCCTTAAATAATCTAACCTCTTTATTAGACTAAAGTTAAATGATTGATTGAAATTCCAGAGCTGTAAAAATCTTAATTTTTCTGAGATTGTGTCATTCATGGGAAGACAAAAAGCACAGGGATAATTGATAATGTCCAGTGGAAGTTAAGAAAACAAAGCAATCTGAGTCATCACATAATAAGGAAAGAGCAAGATAAATGAGCTCCCACACTTCGATTCTGAATCATGATTATAGCTTTCTGGCTAGTTTCTGCACTGTTCTTGACGTTAATTAATACTCATGCGTGTTGTCTAAATGCTTCTCCAGTACTGTTTTTTTATTTGTTGTCCCAGTTAAATGTTAAATTTGGCTATATATGGGAATAGGCAGGCAATCTTAACTCTGTTAGCCTTCCTGAAGCTACAAATCAGTTGAGCAAAGCAGCTCTTCTACTTTTTGGCATTGCCAAATGGCATGGGATGCAGCAGTTTCTCCCTTTTAAAGACCCCTGAAGAATCTTTAAAAAGGAAGGGTTTGTCATTGTGCTGCTTCTGAGAATCAGCTTTTGCAGCAGTATTCATGGCCAAAATTGGTATTGTGTAATGTATTTAAGACATAAGTAGACCAACCGGCTATGGTCTCCTGGTAGCGATTTCCAGACATGTTTTATATTCCATTGCATTAGAAAGTGATTCAGAATCCTTAAGTGTTTTGGCCGTTCCTGTTATGAATTGTCCTTTCAAGTATAGCTCTCTTACATATGTAAGATGAGTGAGAAGGAAGCCCTGAGCTGCCATTCTAGTTAATGGTTTCCATGGAGATACACTTGTGAAGCAGATTAGTTTGCAGGATTGTTCATCTGGGAATTCTAAATGCAAATCCTTTGTGTAATAGCTGGAACATTACCTGTTTGCAATCACAGTTCTTCTGTTGTAGCTTTCCTGACAAGCCATCCTGGTGCAAAAGCTCCACAGTTAGTGATTATTTCTTTCTTTTGCAGAAAAACACATAACAGTAGTGAATTACAGAAGCTGTTGATGTGCTAGTTTGACATTGCTTGGTGTCTTAGTGAAAGCTGGAGTCCTTTTGTTTAACATATCTGTCATCTTCACAGCCCTGATGCTGCTGATAGTACTTCTTTTGATGTCCAACTTGGAGACATTATTTTGACTGCAACAGACGGACTGTTTGACAACATGCCTGACTACATGATTCTGCAGGAGTTAAAAAAGCTGAAGGTAAGTGTGTGTGTGTGTGTTTTCTGAATCTCTCACATCTTTTGGACTGGCTTTCCCTTATAGTTACTACCATTACTTTTTATGCACATAACTTTTGTATTTCATATAAAAGACCCACCACAAAGTGCTATCGTTTAGAGACTTTTCAGTTAATACCACATGTGAGCAGTAGAAGGGGACACTGACGCCAAAGCGCTGTCTCTTGTATCTGCACCCAGGCTGAATCCAGAAGCAGCAGCTTGGGCATAAATTTCCTGAGCAGCAGCTGGCACCACGTCACTGACTGGTGATGGGAGGGAAAGGGGGAGATGTTCAATAGCAGGCACTGCCCTTGGCCAACTGCTCACACATTGTATTTTATCTGCACTTGGCAGGTTGTAGATTATATACATGAAAATACAGCATTCTCTCATATGTTATTTGAAGGGGTGAGCTGTATACTTAGAAATAATTGGAAGCTTTTTCTGAAGGGTTATAAAACAGTAGTTCTAAAGTAGTATGGGCTGTCTGAATTGTGGGTTGCGTGTGTTTGAAAATCTTTAATGTTCTGTAAAAAAAATTCCCTGACAACTTTTCCAGGTTAGTGACCACAGACATCCTTTTAAATAGTAAAAATACATTAAAATATTTTAATTTGGATGAGAACATTTAGCTTAAGGCTATTTACTTACAGAAAGGAAAGTACACTTAGGCGATATCAATATGTATAACTCCCTGAGGGAACTGTTTTGTTATGAAATGCAAATAAGGTTAACATGTAGAATTATAGTGTGGTTTTAAAAAAATTTTGCCTGCTCTTACCCTGCAGCTACATAACTGAAAGGTGGTGTCAGACAGAGAGTGGGTCCTTACAAACAAAATGTCTGAGAGGCCTCTGCGCATCAGGCAGACTCTTGTGTTTCCCCCTCTCTGCAGTCCCCGCTATCATTCTCCCCTCTTCTCGGTGCAGTATTCAGGTCTGAAATTGAGAAGCTGCGCTGTGAAATGGAAAACGTGAGCGCAAGCTGTCGCAGAGGCTTTAATCTGGTTAGCAAAGGTAATGACAGTGCTGGAGATGTATCAGCATGCTGTCGTGGTTTGGAAGGGCCTGGTGGGCTGGTCGCTAACCTGCGCGGCTGGTACTTAATGCTGTAGCCAGATCATACCTCTGCCTGCTGTACTCCCACCTTCCTTTTGCTGCGCAGATGTAAGGTTAGCCTGGGCCGATGCTGGAGATGGAATTCCCTTGTGGAATAAAGTTGGGCTCCACCTTTTGGCCTGTTTGGGAAAGGCACCGAAGTTCCCTGTGAGGTTCAGCCAAAAGTTAATCATGTAAATGCCTGCTAATTCCCCAAACTGCAGGGAAGACTCTTGAAATGACAAGGCATTATAAAATAGTTACAAACAAAAAGAGCAGTGGTTGTCGTGTCATGTTGGCTTGAGTAAGAAAAGTCTTGGAGTAAAGCAGCAGAGTTACTGAAACAGAAGAAAAAAAAAAGGCATTTAAAATGCAGTCCGTAGAAAGTTTGCGTGCTCAATAATTTTTTTTCTCATCTAACTTTTGAAGTGCCCCTTCCCTCCAAGTGTGCTCTTGTCGATTTGGGTAAGAGGGTCAGAGAAGTAAGACTTCCCATTTAAGGTAAAACATAATTACTTCAACAGAGGCTACTTTGTGAGGGAAGGATGGTTCTTTCAGTGAGAACTGCTAGTATAGCTATAAAAAACCTGCTTCCTTCAGGTGAGGCTGTTTAGTCTATTTTGAGTATTAGTTCTAAGTTTCTAAATTCTGCGAATTCTCCAAAACCAAGTCTTGTAGCTGCTGGTAGGGAATAGAGGTCTGGACTTCAGCTGGGAAGGTTTGCCGTTCTAACCAAATACAAAGGCTAAAAGATGGCGAGGCTTCCATTTGGAAGAGAAGGTGGTAACTAGCGCCCTGATCTGCGAGAGAGAGGTCCGGCAGTCAGGGATCTATAAAACTGATGCGCATCTGCAAAACAGCTACCGGTAGACTTTCTTGTAAGAATAAACTTTTTTCCTCGTGAATTTAGAACTCGAACTATGAGAGTATACAGCAGACTGCGAGAAGCATTGCTGAGCAAGCTCACGAGCTGGCATATGATCCCACTTACATGTCACCATTCGCACAGTTTGCATGTGACAATGGATTGAATGTGAGAGGTAAGTTGTGTGGTTTGGTTCCTCCCTCCCCCCCCCTCCTCCCACTCCTGCTATCTTTGAGAAGTCTTAAGCAAAGTGAAGTTCTGTTGTTCTAAAATCTGATGGGAAAACAGAGCATTAAGAAATGCGGTTGGCAGTGGAGCGCCAAGCCAGTGCGCTGGGTTTGGCAAGGACCCCAGCTCCTGACGCAGGTCATCCCAGGCCCCGGCTGATCAGAAGCCTCCTGTGGGGAAGCAGCTGGAACGCAGAGAATGCAGTGCACTGATTTTTTTTTTTTTTTAAATTTAAATTTTTTTTTACTTAATATGTACACTACTGCCTCAGGAATCCTGCCTGATACAAGTTCTCCAGGCTCTTGGGGAAACTACTTGACTTGTTCCTTTTGATTTGCGTGTGTGTGTGGCTCTGTGTGTGTGTGGTTTGGTGGTTTGTTTTTTTTAAGGTCTTCTATTATTGATGCTTTTTAGTCAAGATTCTACCCACTCTTCGGTGATGGACTGCTTTTTTTTTTGCTTTTTTTTTTTGTTCAAATTTCTGACCCTTGTACCATCCTTCTCCCAAGTATTTAGTGATAGGACGAGAGGAAATGGGCTCAAGCTGTGCCAGGGGAGGTTTAGATTGGGTATTAGGAAAAATTTCTTCACGGAAAGGGTAGTCAAGCATTGGAACAGGCTGCCCAGAGAGGTGCTGGAGTCACCATCCCTGGAAGTGTTCAGAAAATAGGCAGACGTGGCACTTTGGGACATGGTTTAGTGGGCATGGTGGTGTTGGGTTGCTGGTTGGACTGATGACCTTAGAGATCCTTTCCAACCTTAGTGATTCCTAGTTTTTACTTTCATTAAAAATAATCCAGCCACCAAGCCAGGAAACACGAAATTGCTACTCTACCCTTAATCGGTTTAGTGGTGGACTTGGTAGTGTTAGGTTAATGGTTGGACTGGATGACCTTAAAAGTCTTTTCCAACCTAAATGATTCTATGAATAGCATCCCTGTCCTAATCTGTCTATTTCCTGCGCTCCAGAAAGATACTAACACCTGGTGGAGTTCAGAGTCCTATCAAACACCTTTTTTCTTTTTTTTAAAGAAATAAATATAATTCTGCTAGTAAAGATGTTCTCATTATCTCTGTATCAGGAGAGCAGGATTTCCTGCAAGACCCTTAAGTGTCTTTCCTGAGGGTAGAGACAATAGCTGTAAAGCTTGGGCTCCATGTTGCTACAAAGCTCAGTCACTCAGTAATGAAACTGCAGATCTCCCGAGTCCAAAGGACTGGTTTGACTTCCTGCGTAACAAAATACCTCTTCTCGGAGCTGGTTCTCTAAGATTTGAGTGTATTGCTCTTGCTGTTGAGGTTTGAAAAGTGACTACTAAAAACGTGAAGTAGCTTTTAGAAAGATATGCAGTAATATAATGCTGGAGAAGATGCTAAAGAGGTGTTTGATTTACAGTAAATTCCTGAGAAGATAACTTTTTCATTGCAGCTTGCTTGTAACAAAGCAGTGTCAGGTTTTTGTACATTTATTTAAAAAAACCCAAACTCACTCAAAGCTAAATAGTCTGCTAGAAAACAAGCTTTCTGCTCTACTGGCTAACAACAATATTCAAGGTTCTGTACTCCTTTTAATAGCTTGTGACCTCACTGTAGCTTAAAAGGAGAGCACTTTTTTGTTGTCTTAAATGTCATTGCTAGCCTCAGTTGCATTTTGGAAAGGAGGTGGAGGAAGCAGAGCTCTTGTGTGTACACAAACCAGTTTTTCAATAGTTAAACTCTTTTTTTAAAAGAGCTTTCCACGGGGAATGTCACAGATTATAAGAAGATGACCCACTGTGGTTTGATGAAATAGTTTTATTTTGCTTATATTACAGGGGGAAAACCAGATGACATCACCGTCCTTCTTTCTATTGTAGCTGAGTACACAGACTGATCTGCCCGGAGTGTCAGCTTCTGACGTGTTCGTTATCCCCGAGCTCCCAGCTTCACATGTACGGTTTCCTGCTGGCAGGATTGCTTTCTTCCTTTGCAGCTGATCTCAGCAGCCGGTTCTCGAGCTCGTTGCCTGTCTTGAGATGCAACTGAAGTCCTTGTTCAGAACCACTCTCGTAGTACACTGGTCTCTGTCTGCCAGCAAGAAATGAAGAAGCTCAAGGCTTGAAGCATGTCTTTCAGAGCTTAGGCGTTCCCCTTAAAAGGGGGAGGATCAATCCCGCATCGTTACTGCGTTTGAAATGTGACTGACTTTCAAAGGAGTAGAATGGGTTTATCATCTTTCAGACTAGATTCAATAGCTAAAACCCCTACAAGAGGGCATATTACTCTACTTACTAGAAACATTCACTATTCATTAAAGGGTATGTTACAGAACGCCGTTTCATAAGCATAGTCTTGTTACAGTGATAGCTGAGGTTTTGTGTTTCTAAGCTCCAGTTTTCAGGAGATTTATAACTGCTGTAAACATTCTGCTCTTGCCATACATGGTGTCAGCCTAGGAGCCTTTTCTAGTACGAAATTTCAAAAAACATACTTAGTTCAAGTTATATGGATGCAAATGTGTTTTGTGATTTCAGGTGCTTAACTGTGATCTTAAAAGTTCTGCAGATCATTCGTCCATAATGGGCTTGGTATCTGGATGTTTTGGCTGTGGATAATTTTTTTTTTTTTAATCAAAAATTTTAGCTCGGTCTCAAAAAGCCGAGCTGGCCAAAGTTGAGGTCCTTTCAGCATTTTAACCCGTCTCGCCAGCGCGGGATGATACGGCATAAATGCTACAGTGGGAGGTTGCACAAAGAACAGATCATCCTCAACTCTGAACGTCTTCACTTTTGGTAGATAACTCTGTTGTTAACCAAACATAATTTGTGTTAATAATTGCCGTTCTCGCTTGTGTAGAAGAGAATATGCTGCACCAGCTTAAGTCCAGCTGATCCTTATCTCTCTGACTCTCAAACAAGCACCTCTTTCTTACGCTGTGGCAGCAGCCGTAAGTACGTAAATGGAAACTCTTAATGAATAATCAGTGAAACTTACATTTCAGTAACTAAAGTTTAGGGTTTTTTGGAATGAACCTTAATGATGTTTACAGTTCTCTAACAGCCACTTTGCAATATTACATTTCCTTTTGAATTACAGTAGCTCACATTTGTTCCCCCTGTTCCAGCGAGCTTTCCTTTTTCTTTCCTGAGGTTCATACAAAAAGCTGATAGCTGTAAAGATATATATATTTTTGGTCAGTTTTTCATTAACTTTTTTGCTGGTAGAAAAGTATGTAGAAATAAATTAAAGCCATGTTTTTATATATAAAAAAGTCGGGTAATGTTGCTGTTTAGGTGAGTGCAGTTAAACTTGGTCAGTAAGTAATCTTACCTGCTCTCAAAAGGAGATTTTTACTACCTGGTTTATTGTATTAAAACTGTTTAAGTTTGAGGTTACCTCAACTTGTTTAAAGAATTTTTGTGGACTTGTACTGTATATTTGCGTAACTATGTCAAGCTTTTATTTAAGATCATTTAACATGTACCATGTACATGTCATTTTACTATATTTCAATGCATCATGCTTGTAACAGGCATTTCATTTGTAATAAGAATAAGTGATTAATTTGGAAGCTCTTCAGTAATTTATCTGCTATTCCTAAATCGGCATAATGTTAGCTATCTATTTTGATCACCTTGTAATTACTTGTCAAAATGCCTTAACTACCCTAACTTGACCAAAATACTATTTTGGTGAGGGTACGGGGAGGATTATATTAATGAAGAAAAAAATAATTAGTTTTGCGATCCATGGAACAGTGAGCGGTGGATAACTTTGCACAAATTGTCAGTCCTCATTGTTTTTTAAAATTGAACAAGCTGTGTGTAGCTGTCTCGTTAGAAGGAATGTATTCACGCTGCAGTACAGGGCTTTGTTTCTGGCATTTGGGAGGGGGGGTTCTCTCTCAAATCTGGGTGTCTTTTACATTTTATTCTCCAGTATTTACTATCACGCTTCTTGATTAGAGCAGATTTGATCAATTATTCTTTCCCTTGAACTTACCCGAAAACGATGCCCCTGCAGACCTGGACTGCGTTGCACTCTGACCCCCGGCTCTCAGCACGCTGGTCCCCAGCCCTCATTATCCCCCCCCGCCCCGACTTCCTAGAACCGCGCGCTGGGCGACGCACGGATCGGCTCGCTGAGTGATGCACGGAAAAGCGCACTGAGCGTGGCGAAGGTGCTTGCCCCCGCCCGAGGCGTCGCGTGCGCTGTG